AAGCAGGTAAAATAATTAAAGACTGTGTTGCCTTTTGGGTTTAATTCGTGTGGAAGAGAGACATCTTGCCCAGAAACAGGGGCCTGGAAACAGATATAAATCCTCCAACTCCCCTTACTCCTTGAGATTGACATTTATTTTGGGCTTTCCACTGAATATGGATTGATTTCAAGTTTGAGCCAATTTTATCTGGAATTCAATGAGCAGGAGTCCTCCTTTGAACACCTAAGGAAGGAGTTCCTGGCTTACAGTTAACATTTTGTAAGGAAGGTGTTTTGATCTGTATTTTATATTTATATATAACCCAAGTTTGGGAATGATCTCATTTCCTTTTCTTTGCTAACATTTCTTCTTTTTCCTTCATCACCACCATCCCAAACAGAAGGATACAGTATTTCCTTCCAGTTCAAAGATGATAACCTGGAGCCACTCTCAGTGGGCATGTGACCTTGAGGGACAAATTTACTCTCTCCAACCTCACTCTCTTGTCTAGTCCCACACCCTCTGACTAAAGGTTTATACATGTGAGACAGCTACTTCAAGTGATGAGGAAAGATCTGGCCAGATAAAAGACAGAAATTGACTGGGATACATGACTGAACTGTGACCTCATTAACATTCTGCCATATCGGAATTAACTGCTGAACAATCCCCAAGGTACAATAGGCCTGCCAAGCCAATTTGCTTGCTGTACCCTACTAATTAGATTAGCTAATTACTGCCTTTTAAATTTTTCTTAGTTCATTCCCTGTACTTGAAACAACCAATTTCCTGCCATTTCGCCATCATTCTGCATTGATAACTTCCTTCAAATACTGGCTCAAAGTGCACCTCCTCCAGGAAGACCCTCTTGACTGAACCCATCCCTCAACATTAACGTCATGTAAAAGTAGCAAGTACCCTATATTCACTAGTTGTTTCATGTGTATACGTATATTCTCCTACTAAGTTATAAGCTCCACAAAAATAGACACCATTACTTCTAAGTTTCTACCTCCAGATCAGTTAATACAGTGCTGTACTCAATGGTGAGTTTTCAATCAACATTTATTAGAAGAATGAACACTGAGTCTTAAAGACAGGCAGGCATCTGCCTAGATTTATCCAAATATAAATTCAGTAGTTGAATCCAGTAGAACTGTCCACATTAGAGGGCTTTGCCACCACTTCTGACCTCCTTCTTGCCCACCCTGTGCATCTCCTTGAGCCCTGGAAGTATCTGTGTTATGTACATCATATTCCTTTTTTCCCTACTGGGAAGTCCTCCTTCTGTGCTCTGAATGATATTAAAAATAACTCTTCTAGCCCTTCCTCCTCCTCCTAGCTGCCCAAAGAACCTGGCTGGCAACCTCTCTTGTTCACCTCCACTCCAGAGCCAGACCCAGGCACGTGACTCCAGCTCAACTCCTGACTCCTAATTCCTCAGGTTACCAAGAGCTATTTCAGGCCATACAGGCCACATAGTCCCCTCCTCCCTATCCTCTGGGCCATATCCTAGCTTAGCCCTTCTTGGAAGGTCCATCATACCCAATAGCTAAGTCAGCATGTCCCAACACCCATATCTATCTCATCTCCAGCTACCTTCAGTTTCTACTTTTTCAGCCTCATCTTCATCACCATCGTCAAATATTAAGTGCCTGTTCCCATGTGCTGCTCTGCTAGAGCTATAAAGAGTAATTCAAGGTCTACTATTGCCTTCAGGGAGCTCAAACTCCCTTTTTCATAGAAAAACAAAAGAACAATGTAAAGTCCTGGGTTGAAAGAAAGACTAGCTAACAAGGAATTTAAAATCCATTCTAGACTTTGAGCTACTTTCCTTCCGCTGTCCTCTCTCTCAAACCAGGAAGTAGCTGGTTATTTTTCCGAGTAGTCTTGTGAGCCCCAAAGAGACCCAGGCCACCAGAAGAAATGATGAAAGCTTAGTAAATGTGAAGCAGAAAATTAAATCCTGTGACCATCCAATCCCCCCAAAATAAAATAAATAAAATAAAATCCATTCTGAACTCTTGGGCACTTGTATGTCAAAGATGGAAGGCAAAAAGAACAAAGGTGTGCAATTTAAATGTGACTGCTACAGGGTAAAGTTAAGTGTTGAGACCGAACAAAAGGGAAAGAACCTGTTAACCAAGGAAGACTTCCTGGAAGAGTTAAGTTTTGCATAGTATTGTAAATTTTATTTTCAATATGGTAAAAAAATTTTAAAGTACATAGTGATAGATAAATTTTCCTTTTATTTATCATTCCCTGTCTCCCAGTTTCTCTCTTCAGGAAAAAGCAATGGTACCAGAGTGTTGCGTATCTTTCCGATGGAAATCAAGATATTGAAAGCAACGAGGGGGCACAGATTGTTGGAGAGCAAAGGGAGGGCTTTTATATCTATTCCTTGACAGGGGAGCAACTGCTACCCTTCTTCCTAAATGTGTTCCCTTCTTAGAACACACTTACTGAGTTGCTGAGCTCTAAACAGGACTCTTAGTCACTTTTTATAAATTGTACCAATTTTTCAATATCCACTTTTCTCCTCTCTTTTTCCGTTTCTGGGCTGGGCTGTCCTGCATCCAGATCTTCCCTGATTGGCTGCTCTCTGGTCTCTCCAATGGAGAAGGGGAAGCACCCCCACCCTTTTCTGGGTAGAAACCTTTGAGCCTTTTAAAGTGTAGCCAACACCCTAGTACCTTAAACTGGCAATGTGGTAATTAAGGAGTCGAACGATGCCCCTTCGGTTGGCTTTGGAGGCCTTCAGCTGCCAGCTGTCCTAACCTTTGTGGGGTTTTTCCGCAGCAGGAGAGCCCTTCGGATTGCTCCCTGAAGTTTGAGCACTTAATGCTATATCCTTTCTACGCAACTCATGTCACAGCTAGTGGATTTACGCGCCTTCTCTCCCTCTGAAGCTATTGCTATATATAATCTCCAGATTACCACGCCCCTGCTTCCCCAAGTCTGTGGGGGCTTTGGGGGTGCGTAATATCTGACGGGAGGAGTTAGCTCCCGAGGAGGCACTGAGGCATTGTGGGCTGGGTCCTCAGGTTGATCGGCACCGCAGGCCAAGGTCCCGGTTGCCGCTAGAGTCTTGTTGGGGCCGCCAGACTGGAGCGGAGAGCGCTGCGCCGCCCGCCTGGGGAGACCAGGAACCAAGGCGCAAGGTGGGGGAGCCTAGGGAAGCTGCCAGGGCGGGGCGGAGGGCGCCCCGGCCCAGGGCAGCGCGGCG